AAGATATAAATAGTTTTATATTACTATATAATAATATAATAAAATATATTTATAGTAATACAAAACTATTTCTATCTGAGCATCTAGTGATTGGATTTTTATGATTTTAGACTTGTTAGAATCCTCTCATTAAGAGGATTCTAACAAATCTAAAATTATAAAAATCCAATCACTAGATGCTAAGATAGAAATAGTTTTGTATTACTATAAATATATTTTATTAAACATAAAATCTGATTGGCTAGCAGGTGAGGGGGGTGGGGGTGGGTTCAAACGATTTATTAGTAAACCTTAATCAAGTGATTTCTAGAAGCCTCCTAACAACTGAATTAAAACAAATGCCCTATAGCAAACCCTTATAATTATTTCTCTGTTTTCGTGATTATTTTAATAGTATATAAAGCGAAAGGTGTAGTTTCTGAATATGTAATCGAGTTTTCCTAGACAATTCATTTTTGTGGCAAACAATTCGTTTAAGGTCTGATGATATATGCAGTCACCAGTAGGGTTCTGCAAGTGCTAGGCACAGGTACTACAATTACTTTATATAAAATAAAGATCAACTAACGCTAACGCTAACTCATAGGAATTAATCCTTATTTCAGTATATATATAATAGCGATAGTTACTCTTAAGTACATAGTCTTATTCTTTGGTATATTATCTCTATACAAAGAGATTCTAGGTCATTATTTAAATCAATAATTTAAGAAATTTATTTTTAATATGTTACTAGTTTATGTATTATTTTTATATAGAGAAATTGAGGTTTTAAAATTTCTTACACCATACTATTTAAACATAGTATTAGACACTATTTCAAATAGTACGTGTCTGGCACTTGCAGAACTCTAGTCACTAGAGATAGAAAAAAGACATCTTGGTGGTGCTTGACATTTACTGAAATAAAATATTTAAAGTGGTACTTAAAGTTTGAACGCTCAAAAAAATATTCATTTTAAAGTTATAAGTGCTAAAAAGCAAGCTCTATTAATTTTTTTTAAAACTACCCTTCTGAATCACTTAAAATCGCTATTTTAAACTGTTTCTTTTAATAATTGCTAACTTGCCTTCTGGTTAATATAACCACCCTTTTATTATAATTCAAGAATGGCTTAAATAATTATGTTTAATATACTAAACAAAAAATATTTAATACTATAAAAACTTTATTTTAATATTAACTTTAACCTAAACCCTAATTCAAATTCTATTTTAAATTTAAGCAAAAATTAAGGTTGGTTAAAAGTTTATTATTTAACCAGGAATTAAAGTTAGCTAAATTCAAAAAATAAAAATAAAATAAAAAAAAAGGAAGCCTTAAGATTACTAGTGCATGATATTTAAGGTTACGTGATGATATCATGAGAAGCCATATAAAGCCAATTGCGAATATTGAAGATTGATCAAAACATATTTACAAAATGTAAAAGTTATACGGTTAAACAAAAGCTTGAAATTATTTCAAAAGCAAAAGAAACGTCTAATAAAGCAGCAGCGTGAATATTCGGTGTTGATTATTCTTAAGTATCCAGGTAGTGAAAACAAAAAAAAAAGTTAGAAGAAGCTGTGCATTCATGACCTTCATAAATATTCTCTATTGTCATGATTATTTTAACAGTATATAGAGTGAAAGGTATATTTAGTTCTTCTGGATAATTTATTTAAAGTCAGATTATATCTGAAATATATATGTAAATAAATTTTAGTAATTGATTAATTACAGATGATCTCGGCTAGGGGGTATTTATTTTTGAAGGTTATTGATTATCATAGGGTGATCTTATTTCAGGGGATGCTTATTTTTGGCGATTTATGATAATGTTATTTGCTATATTCAAATCTAGTAAAAAATATTAATAATAAGAAATATTAGCAAATTATTATATATACATCATTATTGCATATACAATAATCAAAACAACAAATGAAGTAAATATACTTTTGCTTTTACTTGTTATATTATATATGATATTAATTTAATTTAAATATCAATAATAAGATAAAACTCAGAAAATTATTATTATACATATAATTATAGCGAATTGTCATTACAAATTAGATAAGTATACTTTTACTTTATTTTTTTTTGCTATATAATGATTACAATATACTTTTACTTTTACTTGTTATATTATATATGATATTAATTTAATTTAAAAATCAAAACCTGAAAAATTATTATTATATATGTGTAATTATAGCGAATCATTATTACAAATATGATAAGTATACTTTCACCTTATTTTTTTTTGCTATAAAATAATTACATATTAACTTTATTATTTAATTTTTTAAATATAATAAATTACCAATACACATAAGATGACCAAATAAAATTATTTTTTTTGCTATATAATGAATAATATTATATAGAAAATTTCTAATTTATACCACAGGTGATTATCACCTGTAGTAAAATTATCTTAAAATTTTGCTTATGAAACCACTTTTGAGGCACTAAGTAAAAAAATTTCTCATGAAATTTTACTATAAATCTTACTAAACTCTAACCCCAATACGAACTCTAACTCTTACCCTAAAGTCTCAAAAAAAATATTTTTTATTTACGTATTAAATTGTTTATTTATTTGTTTATGTTACATAAAATTATATATTGTAAATTACAGGTGATCATCACCTGTAGTGTTTATTAGTTATTTTCTATTATATATTAATTTTTTAATTTTAAGGATATATAAAAATAACTTTTTGCCATTTAAGAAAATAAAAATATTTTTGGAATTTTTGAAAATAAATAACAATATTTCTAATAACACTTCTAACAACACTTCTAACAACACTTCTAACAGCACTTCTAACAATACTTCTAACAAACACTTCTAACAATACTTCTAACAATACTTCTAACAACACTTCTAATAACGCTTCTAATAATATTTCTAATAATACTTCTAATAATACTTCTAACAACACTTCTAACAACACTTCTAACAATGCTTCAAACAATTTTTCTAATAATAATTTACCTACAAATACAAAATAATTTTCATCAACTGCTCTTTCTTTATCTCTATATACTGCTAGTCTTTCTTAACCAACTTATAATAATAATAATAATAGTGATTCTTTTAATTTATCTATCAAAAGTATTAAAAGTACACAAAAAATATTTAAGAAAATGAGTAGTAGAAGTAGACAACAGGCTCCATCATGACAAATATTTTATCCCAAAATTCATTTTTTTCATGACAACCTGCTAACTTTCAATATCCATTGTGTTCTTATTCCCCTCTTCATCATATATTGCATTCTATTGAACATGACAGATCTTTATTACTATAGTATTCATGACAAAGATCACAATTATAAGATCAATGATCACCTAAGAGCAGTTGATGAAAATTATTTTGTATTTGTAGGTAAATTATTATTAGAAAAATTGTTTGAAGCATTGTTAGAAGTGTTGTTAGAAGTGTTGTTAGAAGTATTATTAGAAGTATTATTAGAAATATTATTAGAAGCGTTATTAGAAGTGTTGTTAGAAGTATTGTTAGAAGTATTGTTAGAAGTGTTTGTTAGAAGTATTGTTAGAAGTGCTGTTAGAAGTGTTGTTAGAAGTGTTGTTAGAAGTGTTATTAGAAATATTGTTATTTATTTTCAAAAATTCCAAAAATATTTTTATTTTCTTAAATGGCAAAAAGTTATTTTTATATATCCTTAAAATTAAAAAATTAATATATAATAGAAAATAACTAATAAACACTACAGGTGATGATCACCTGTAATTTACAATATATAATTTTATGTAACATAAACAAATAAATAAACAATTTAATACGTAAATAAAAAATATTTTTTTTGAGACTTTAGGGTAAGAGTTAGAGTTCGTATTGGGGTTAGAGTTTAGTAAGATTTATAGTAAAATTTCATGAGAAATTTTTTTACTTAGTGCCTCAAAAGTGGTTTCATAAGCAAAATTTTAAGATAATTTTACTACAGGTGATAATCACCTGTGGTATAAATTAGAAATTTTCTATATAATATTATTCATTATATAGCAAAAAAAATAATTTTATTTGGTCATCTTATGTGTATTGGTAATTTATTATATTTAAAAAATTAAATAATAAAGTTAATATGTAATTATTTTATAGCAAAAAAAAATAAGGTGAAAGTATACTTATCATATTTGTAATAATGATTCGCTATAATTACACATATATAATAATAATTTTTCAGGTTTTGATTTTTAAATTAAATTAATATCATATATAATATAACAAGTAAAAGTAAAAGTATATTGTAATCATTATATAGCAAAAAAAAATAAAGTAAAAGTATACTTATCTAATTTGTAATGACAATTCGCTATAATTATATGTATAATAATAATTTTCTGAGTTTTATCTTATTATTGATATTTAAATTAAATTAATATCATATATAATATAACAAGTAAAAGCAAAAGTATATTTACTTCATTTGTTGTTTTGATTATTGTATATGCAATAATGATGTATATATAATAATTTGCTAATATTTCTTATTATTAATATTTTTTACTAGATTTGAATATAGCAAATAACATTATCATAAATCGCCAAAAATAAGCATCCCCTGAAATAAGATCACCCTATGATAATCAATAACCTTCAAAAATAAATACCCCCTAGCCGAGATCATCTGTAATTAATCAATTACTAAAATTTATTTACATATATATTTCAGATATAATCTGACTTTAAATAAATTATCCAGAAGAACTAAATATACCTTTCACTCTATATACTGTTAAAATAATCATGACAATAGAGAATATTTATGAAGGTCATGAATGCACAGCTTCTTCTAACTTTTTTTTTTGTTTTCACTACCTGGATACTTAAGAATAATCAACACCGAATATTCACGCTGCTGCTTTATTAGACGTTTCTTTTGCTTTTGAAATAATTTCAAGCTTTTGTTTAACCGTATAACTTTTACATTTTGTAAATATGTTTTGATCAATCTTCAATATTCGCAATTGGCTTTATATGGCTTCTCATGATATCATCACGTAACCTTAAATATCATGCACTAGTAATCTTAAGGCTTCCTTTTTTTTTATTTTATTTTTATTTTTTGAATTTAGCTAACTTTAATTCCTGGTTAAATAATAAACTTTTAACCAACCTTAATTTTTGCTTAAATTTAAAATAGAATTTGAATTAGGGTTTAGGTTAAAGTTAATATTAAAATAAAGTTTTTATAGTATTAAATATTTTTTGTTTAGTATATTAAACATAATTATTTAAGCCATTCTTGAATTATAATAAAAGGGTGGTTATATTAACCAGAAGGCAAGTTAGCAATTATTAAAAGAAACAGTTTAAAATAGCGATTTTAAGTGATTCAGAAGGGTAGTTTTAAAAAAAATTAATAGAGCTTGCTTTTTAGCACTTATAACTTTAAAATGAATATTTTTTTGAGCGTTCAAACTTTAAGTACCACTTTAAATATTTTATTTCAGTAAATGTCAAGCACCACCAAGATGTCTTTTTTCTATCTCTAGTGACTAGAGTTCTGCAAGTGCCAGACACGTACTATTTGAAATAGTGTCTAATACTATGTTTAAATAGTATGGTGTAAGAAATTTTAAAACCTCAATTTCTCTATATAAAAATAATACATAAACTAGTAACATATTAAAAATAAATTTCTTAAATTATTGATTTAAATAATGACCTAGAATCTCTTTGTATAGAGATAATATACCAAAGAATAAGACTATGTACTTAAGAGTAACTATCGCTATTATATATATACTGAAATAAGGATTAATTCCTATGAGTTAGCGTTAGCGTTAGTTGATCTTTATTTTATATAAAGTAATTGTAGTACCTGTGCCTAGCACTTGCAGAACCCTACTGGTGACTGCATATATCATCAGACCTTAAACGAATTGTTTGCCACAAAAATGAATTGTCTAGGAAAACTCGATTACATATTCAGAAACTACACCTTTCGCTTTATATACTATTAAAATAATCACGAAAACAGAGAAATAATTATAAGGGTTTGCTATAGGGCATTTGTTTTAATTCAGTTGTTAGGAGGCTTCTAGAAATCACTTGATTAAGGTTTACTAATAAATCGTTTGAACCCACCCCCACCCCCCTCACCTGCTAGCCAATCAGATTTTATGTTTAATAAAATATATTTATAGTAATACAAAACTATTTCTATCTTAGCATCTAGTGATTGGATTTTTATAATTTTAGATTTGTTAGAATCCTCTTAATGAGAGGATTCTAACAAGTCTAAAATCATAAAAATCCAATCACTAGATGCTCAGATAGAAATAGTTTTGTATTACTATAAATATATTTTATTATATTATTATATAGTAATATAAAACTATTTATATCTT